ATACCGACCGAGAGCAAGCGGGCCGAGGGCAGCACCAAACGGCTGCTTGACCCGATCGCGATCTACGACGTAATGAGTACGCGACTGAATCCGGGCCAGGGCTTCCGGGTTCTCCTCGCTGTCTCGCAACGACTTTTGTGCCGCACTCACACTGTACTTGTTATATCGGTTTAGTAAGGTTAAACCGGGAGTGATTATTACACTAAAGCCTCAACCTACAAATACAACATACGTTTTTCGTTGAAATACAAGAAGTTATCCCGTTTTATGATTACGTACATTTGCAAAAAGGGGTACGTAATAATTTATTAACAAAGGATTTAATTATTAATAAAAATGTAACAAAGGGGAATGAGAAATTTGCATCGTGGGACGATATTGTTACTATATATGAAATGGACAATATTCTTTTTTGAGGCAGCGACAGATGCCAAAACTTTGTAATAAACATATTTTCTTGCACATGATACCGAAAATGAAAGTTAAATATGCTACACAAGTGTTTAGTCACACAGTAGCAAATTTTATCCATGTAGTATTGACTTTTAGTCAAGGTAAAATATATTACTTATCGATAATAATATAATATTTAAATATTAAAAGTAAATATTACATGTTGAATATATAATACTCAAATATCGGATTTTATTACAGGTATTAGGCATACAAAAAAAAGTAAAATGCATTTATCACAAAATGCTACCGCTACATCCAAAACGATATTATTTTTTGATGAGCTCTTTGATTCGTTTAATGGGAAACGAGGACAAGGACTTACTAGTATTATAAGTAATACGAGTGATCATATAAATTATTGGAAAGAAGCATATAATAAACTTCGCCAAATGGAATTTGTCGAAAAAAAGACTCATTAAGTTATCCGAAGAAATTTACCAAAATGTATAGTAAATTGGATGTGGACTATCCAAAGCGCAAAATATTTATGGGATGTACTTCAACATCTGGATTTTCCTCATGTAATTTAAAGCATATTAATCGAGATGTGGTAGAAAATTTCTTCAGCCAGATTAGAGATAACAGGCATAGAAATGTTAATCCGACACCCTTCCAATTTTCTGCCGCGTTTAAAACACTTGTTAGCACAAATTTGACATCTAATTATTGTATATCATCAAATTGTGAAGAAAGTAACGAAGGCACATCGTTAGCACTGTTAAAACTATGTTATGCGAACAAAATTGCGATACAATCAAACACAGAGCAAAATGATAATGATATTGAATGCGCTCAAGCAGCTATACCAGATGTCATCAATAAAAATATGTTTGTGGATGCACAAAAGATAATATTAATCATGGAAAAAGAGAAACCTGTAATGGAATGTGAAGAATGCTTCAAGATCATAAAACATAACTGTATCTTGGAAAGTGTTCAACATGCATTAGATCTTGCAGAATTACAGTTTCCTCAGTTTTGTCACGAGGTACAAATAAAAATTGAAACATATGCTAAGTATTGAAGCATTTTCGACGCCGATGATGCATTGTCCTATTGTACGAAGTATTATCATTGAATTAACTGCAAGACGACACTGTTTAAAATAATAGATACAATATGATCAGACTACATTGTATTACATTCAATTTCAATGTAAATGAATAAAAACCTTATTAATTTACATTGAAACTGAATGTAATATAATGTAATCTGATCATATTGTATCTATTATTTTAAACAGGGAATTTATTTTACAATGGTGTAAGTTTATCAACAACATATTAACGGGAAAAATAGGAGAAGGATGCGATAAAAATTTTATTTATAATCAAGCTAGAAGGATGTATTTGAAATATAGAAAAAAGAAATAAGTCTAGCTCATCTAAATTAGGTAATGAAATTATATAATAATAATTTTATAATTATATATTGTATTATTACATTTTATTATTATATAATTAAATTCATATTCTAGGATTCTGTAATGAACGGCGAGTATATCACAGCGTGCAACGATGACGATGCTGTCAATATTTTAAGGAAAACCGATGATACAGCGGTTATAATGGTCAAGCGTTATCAAGCAGCCGAGTCATTTCTACAGAAAAGCGAAATATTATATATTATTTAAAAAGTAACACTTATTGAAGTGATATAAATCCAGCTTATTTAAATAATTATATAATAAAATTATAAATACTCTCCCTTTTAAATTTTATAGTTACATTTTTAATAAAGCATTGTAATAAACAA